ATATGTTGTGTCTCTTTCTAACCTTCATAGTCCTTGTGTGAGTCATGATCCCGTAAGATACGTTTTTCTATAGTACGACTTTTAGAACATTATTAAAAATTATTGCAAAATGGTTGGGAGTGCAGCCCCATTTTGCAATAATTCTGCAGCCAAAAGCTACATAATGAATTTCCGCGTGATGTTGAACGTCGGGTGGCACCCAGTTGGACACGGCTCAATTGAACACGAGCCACTCACAGCTTGAGACTACAAAGCTCCTAAGCTCCGGTCGCTGTGATTGGTGGTGTCCAATCGAGCCGTGGTCAATCGGGATCATCCCTTGAACGTCAAGCATTATGGGCGACAAATGTTGGAAAAAATGTGCGTTCAGGGAGATGCTATTAACGCTATTTCTATCATTCTATGCTTGTTTTGGTTGGAAACATTGATTCTTTACAAAATAGATTAGTTTGCGAACGATTTTTAACGTATCGATACGCACATCGCCTATTCCTACAATGGCTACGTTCGGAAACGTCGCTCGGATGCCTCCAATGCCTCGGATTTATCATCTGTCCTTGTTTAGCATTAAATATTAAATAAGGACAGATGATGAATCCGAGGCATCCGAGCGACGTACCCGAACGCAGCCAATATTGACATTCGAATATTAGCGGGAATTGAAAAATTACGAACCAATCAAAATTGGCTGTTCTCGTGTCGCGACTCTGATTAGAGGGTCTCTATCACCGACATCAAAGGAGCCGACAGCTACTGTTGCTACTGTATGTAGTTATACTGTGGCATAAGCATAATATAAAGGTCACAGCACATACTCTTGCATAACGCATAATGCATAGTGCATAAAGGAATCAACCAATCAAAATTCTTTTTTTCCATGGAATGGGAGGAAAGGAAAGATTCTGATTAGTTGATTAGCTTATTCACGGGTGGCACCCAGTTGGACACGGCTCAATTGGACACGAGCCACTTACAGCGCTTGAGACTACAAAGCTCCTAAGCACCGGTCGCTGTGATTGGTGGTGTCCAATCAAGCCGTGGTCAATCGAGATCATCCCCTTATGCACTATGCATTATGCAAAAGTGTGTGCTGTGGCCTTGAAACTGTTGGATGAGCATTGAGCATAAAGTTGCCATATTGATTTATATAAAATGCTCATTGGTCAAGCGATCTTATGTTATGCATTTCATGTGCAATAGGCTTTAAAGCGGGGAGCACAGACTCTTGCATAACGCATAACACGTAATACATAAACAAATGTGCCGTAATACATAAACAAATCGAAGTCCTTCATTTCCTTCCTTTCTATGAAATAAAGGACTCTGATTGGTTCAATTTCTTATGCCTCATGTGTTATGCGTTATGCAAGAATCTGTGCTCCCGCTTAAGCCTATCCCACATAAAATGCATAACAGAGCTTAAGCATAATATAAAACTGTTGGACCAATGAGCATCCAGCATAAAGTTGCCATGTTGATTTACATAAGATGCTCATTGGTCTAGCGGTCTTATGTTTTGTTTATGTATTGTTATACATTTTATGTGGCTTTAGGGTATATCCACACAACTTACATAGCCGCATAAACGTAAAAGGAAACTATCCAATCACATTTTATGTGCTTTAAAAGAGAAATGCAATTGGATAATTTTCTTTATGTATATATGTATGCAGCTATGCAAGTTGTGTGGATATACTCTAAGGGCTATCGCACATGAAATGCATAACAGAGCATAAGCATAACATAAGACTGCTGGACCAATGAGCATCTAACATAATGTCGCCATATTGATTTACATAAGATGCTCATTGGTTTAGTGGGCTTATGTTATGCTTATGCTCTGTTATGCATTTCATGTGCGAGAGCCCTTAGGGCCATTCCACATAAACTTGCAGAGCGCATAACCATATGCATAAAGAAAATTATCTAATCACATTTCTGTCATAAAAACGAACGTAAACTATGATTGGATGATTTTCTTTATGCATATGTTTATGCGCCTATGCAAGTTGTGTGGAATGGCCCTTATGCTCACACTCCATGCACAATTAAGGCCGCAGCACAGACTTTTGCATAACGCATAATGCATAGTGCATAAGCGAATCAACTAGTCAGAGTCTTTCTTTTCCTTCCATTCCACAGAAAAAAAAAATTTCGATTGATTGATTCCTTTATGCACTTTGCATTACGCGTTATGCAAGAGTCTATGCTGTGGCCATTAAGACGTAAGAAATGGACGAATTATAGTCAATTATTCTTCTCGAATTTGACTGTAATTGGTTAATTTCTTACGGCTTAAGGCTTAAAACACGTATTGTAGATCCGGGTTTAAAGATGTAGTTTAATGGCTGTTCTAAAATGTGCTTTTTGTTTCCTGTTTCTTGCTGTTTGTCTCTGTTTGTCTCTTGCCTTTTTTATCAAGAAGGTAAGAGACAAACAGCAAGAAACAGGAAACAAAAAGCACATTGTAGAACGGCCATAATTATCATGAACACGCAAATTAGAAAAATGTCTTTAAGTCCGGATCCACAATAGTGTTTTAAGCCTTAAGCCATAAGAAAATGACCAATTACAGTCGAATCCGAGAAGAATAAGCGACTGTGATTCGCTCAATTCTTATTGCTTAAGGCTTAAAACCCTATTGTATAAATCCGGATTTACAATAGATTTTTGAGCCTTAAGCCATAAGCAATGGACGAATCACAGTCGATTATTCTCCTCGCACTCGACTGTAATTGGTCAATTTCTTACGGTTTAATGCTTAAATCACCTATTGTAGATCCGGATTAATAGATCCGAACTTAGACCCTGACTGTACATATGTAATAAATGTGATGCACACTAATGCTTCAGAAAGGGTGTGTTTAAAGGTGCGAATTCATACAGCGACAAATCGCTGGCCGACTTGAGAGAAGTGGGGGAAAAATGTCGCCAGCGCTAAATATCTGTCGCTTTGTCGCCGGTACATATTCATGTGACAACAAATCGCTGGCGACTAAAATGAGAGAGAGATTGTGGCCATCTCCCACTGAATTATACCTCTCACGGTCCCTCTACTTAGATACGGATCGCGCAGTCCATTTTCTATGTCTTTGATGTATAGTAGAAAAAGCAATGAAAATGAAGGTAACAATACGTTCGAACGGGGTGTATTCTAAGGCCCGTATTCAGAACGCGCTTTTATCGATAAAAGCGCACTTTTATCTCTGAAATTCTATAATATGCATGACGTAAAGTATGGTATGTTAGCGTGCTAACATCGTTGTAAGCGCGTTCTGAATACGAGCCTAAGTGTGCAAATATTTTGGAAACAGCGGTAGCAAGAGCAGTCAAGATGCGACGGATAATGATTGCAACTGCTATAATGTTGGAGTTGCAAAAAACGCAAATGAAGCGAGATTATAAAAAGAAGCAGTACTGGGTAGCTCCATACTTAAAAGATCGTCAGGAGCATAGCTTTTTTCATATATCCATCCCTAAATTGACATTCGAAGATAGCATACATTTCCATAACTATTTTCGAATGTCGGCAACGCAATTGGAAGAACTATTGACATTAGTTGGACCACAACTGCAAAAAATGAATGCTATTCGAGAGTGCATAGGACGCTTAGCGTTAACGTTAAGGTGTGTTACTTTTTATTATACGTAATATGTAATAGTACGAAAATATGTTAAATAATTGTTTCTATATTTCAGATATCTCGCATCAGGTGATTCGATGATATCAATGTCATACCAATATCTTATAGGAGTTAGTACAACAAGCAACATAATTCGAGAGACGTGCAAAGCGATCTGGAATACCTTACAGCCGCTAGTTTTACCATCTGCATTAACTGAAACAGAGTGGTTAGATATTGCTCAGAATTTTGATGATGTAACAAATTTTACCCACTGCATTGGAGCTATCGATGGCAAACACGTGACTATACAGGTTTATTTTTTTTCAGAAATATTAAGGGTGAAGATATCCTTTATAAGATATAAACACTCTTTACTCGAAATACTTTAAAAATCTATCACACTGCTTTGTCATTATTTGATATAACCATTCGATATTGTTTCAGTGTCCCAACAATGCCGGTTCTACTTATTATAATTATAAACAATCGCACAGCATTGTTCTATTGGGTATTTGCGATGCAAACTACATTTTCCGATTTGTGGACATTGGAGCATACGGCCAACGAAGTGATGGCGGAATTTTTGGAGATAGCATTATAGGGAGAAATTTTGATTCTCAACGCATGAATGTACCGAAGCCGGCAGCTGTTGAAGGTGGACGGATTTTACCATTCTGTCTTGTGGGAGATGAGGCTTTTCCCTTAAAACCATATCTGCTTCGGCCCTACCCAAATAGGATTGGATTGACTCTGATGGACGATATTTTTAATTATCGATTAAGTCGTGCAAGAAGAATCATCGAAAATACGTTTGGTATTTTAGCGAGTCAATGGCGAGTATTTCGTAAACCGATTATTGCTCAGCCAGAAACTGCTAAATTAATTGTGCAAGCAACGGTGTGTCTACATAACTGGCTCCGAAAAGAAGACATTGGAAAAAATATGTATGTTTCCCCAAACATGATCGACGAAGAAAGCGAAGATTTAAATAGTTTCCAACCAGGTTGGCGGAGAATAATGGAGGATAGATGCGCTTTTCAAGATATCACTAATTGTAGAACCAACACAAGTGCTTGAATCTGCATGAAAATACGTGATAAATTCCGCGATTATTTTTGTAATGAAGGATCAGTACCGTGGCAATGTAATAGGCACAAATAAATGATTTTCGTATTCACATAATATCTTAGTAACATTATTTATTAAATATGCAGAAATATATAACTATTATTTATTTAACATTTTATTTTTTTTTACTCGTAACATATCACATAATATCACATAATTATTACATAATATCACATAATTTCACATGTCTAGTAACATTATTTATTGAATGTTATTATTTATTTAACATTATTTTATTTTTTTTACTCGTAACATTATTTTACTTTCTTCTACTGGTTGTTCACTCTCGTCTCACGCAAAAGTTGCAATATTGCGAGCATTGCTACTTCGCTTGCATTCGCACTGAGGGCTCGCAGCTTAGAGGCGATAATCATTCCGAACGCAGTGAATTCATCATTGGGCAGGCCTCCAGTTACATCAACCGATATGGGTTCATTCATCAGGTCCATCATCTTATCCATAATTGCTCCAAACTTGATCAGCTTCTCGCTCCTTTCTGTGTGAGAAATGAATTTGTTCTTTTTTTTTACCTGAGAAAAACATTTATGTAATGTTAACAAATATGTATAGTTGGTATAGCGGAAGAAATATTTCTTAACAAATATTTAATTGTGGTAGATAGATCTTTGTAACCATAAATAAACCATTTATAATACAAAAGACAATCATCACAACTACATACATATTTGATAATAGTTCAGAAAATATTTCTTTTGCCTATATCTATCTGTACATTTATTAACATTAAATAAACGTTGTTAATTTATGTTTTTACGTTTGAATTTCTTTTTATATGTGTCATCCAATAGAAAATTCAAATTCATATTAAAATATGTACATTTTTTATATGAATAAATTTTCAATATTAATATTTGTTAATTCTTATTAATATTTGAAGTATTCTTACGTGGTGTATATTCAATGTTTCGCGACGTACTGTCACCGTGGTCATCGACCACGGATATTTCTGTGTTGTCTTGCGAAACATCTGGACTGTTGGAGAGATCAGAAATATTCGATGTCGTTCTAGAAGAGAAAGATTAAAATAAAGGTTATATAAATGTAGTTTGTACAGCAGTTAAAATGTATTTTTAATCATTGTACAAACTATATTTATATAATACGTATGAATATGCATTACACATACACGTTTTCACGTTGCATGTCATGCAAAAAACTAAGCCTATCGAAGTGAAGCCATTTAATCTTTTTGGCAGCCGAAGAACCACTCGGCTGTTTATGAGATCTGCGAAGTCTCCTAAACATATCGGATAATGACTTCCACTTCTTTTTTATCTCTTTACAGTCATTTCTCCTAAGGATAAAAAACGTGATGAATACATTTGTAACAGACACGGTTCCCATATCTCAAATTAAAAATATTGTACCTTTCATACTGTCAGCAATCTCTTCCCACAGCTTCTCTTTAGCACGACCACCCCTTTTGGAAATGTGCAATTTATAATTCCAAAGAGGTGGTCGCTTCCGCACTTCCTCTATGAGAAGTTCCTCAATGCAAACTTTCCTCGCTGGCAGGTTTATCGGACGATCACTGCTGTTCAAATTGTTATCCTCTACCTATATCTAGGTATATTTCTTTCCATTACCTCGTTTTCTTCCTGGTCAGCTCTCTCCTGTTCAATATCTTCCTGTGCGATCTCTTCTTCGACGAAGACCTCTAACAAGATTTTTTCGAATGATTGATCCATTATCTACAAAAATATGAACACGTTATCTACCATTTAATATCTGTAGTAATTTCATACACTATACTTACCGCATTGCGGATGGAAATATAAATTTTTGTCTATGTGATATCTTTGGAATCCTTCCAAGCAGGGATGATTGCGTACCTCATCTGAGTGACAAATTGTTTCACATATACAGCAAGTATATACTACATCAATTTCACCTGACTGAAATTCAAAATCATTATGTCCTCAAATATGTTAGATATACGTTAATTATAGATTGAATGTTTAAATGTAAATACGCGGCTGTAAACACATTCAAATTAATACGATATAATATCTTACCAATTTATTAATATATTTTATGTAATACTAACCTCAGAATCCCCGAGATTGATGAAACTCATATTGCTTCTTCTTCTGAAACCCCTACTTGGATTTCCGACCGAAACGAAAGAATGTGGCAAAAATAATCGTCGTTCTGCCCCGCGAATCAAGATATTGGCTACGTTTATACCGTGCACTTAAATCTATATGGTAAGTGTTGTTGTTTTACAGGATAAGCAAGGACATCTATTGTATAGACCGCGGCCTAAATACACGGTGTAAACGTAGCCATTAAGCATTTTAAAGTTAACGATTATTTAAAAATATCATGAAAACGTCCGTAGCACATGCTTGCATCGCAGTATTTTGCCAGTATTTCGCGGCTGACAGATTTCCTAACCTCAATAACCGTTAACTTTAAAGCTTAATATCTCGATTCGCGGGGCAGAGCGATGTTGTGGCGATTTATTGCTGCAGCCGAGACAGAATAACTTTGGCCAAGTTTACCTCATTACAGAGGACCAGGGCCATTAAATTATATAGAAGCCGAGACAGAACGAACTTCCTGGCGATTTAGTCGCCGCTACTACGGATTCAGCACAATAATGTGTAGAGGGGGAAAGTCGCCAGCGATTTGTCGCTGTATGAATTCGCACCTTAACTAAACGAAACTGAAGAATGAAATAACCATAATTGGCCACCCAGATAAGGTTTGCCGACTCTCACCCGATGTTGAACGTTGGGCCGACGTTGGCGAATTCACGGCAAACCGACAGTCATTAATCGAACATGGTGCGACGTCGGCCCGACGTACATTAGCCGACATTTATTCGATGCCGACCTTTGGCCAATGTCTGGCCAACGTTAGCACTATGTTGGCAACTGGTTGTTACGCCAACCTCGGCGCGACGTCGGCCCGACGTACATTAGCCGACATTTATTCGATGCCGACCTTTGGCCAATGTCTGGCCAACGTTAGCACTATGTTGGCAACTGGTTGTTACGCCAACCTCGGCGCGACGTCGGCCCGACGTACATTAGCCGACATTTATTCGATGCCGACCTTTGGCCAATGTCTGGCCAACGTTAGCACTATGTTGGCAACTGGTTGTTACGCCAACCTCGGCGCGACGTCGGCCCGACGTACATTAGCCGACATTTATTCGATGCCGACCTTTGGCCAATGTCTGGCCAACGTTAGCACTATGTTGGCAACTGGTTGTTACGCCAACCTCGGCGCGACGTCGGCCCAACGTACGTTAGCCGACTCTTACTTATTGACGAAGCTCGGGCCAACGTAGGCAGCATGTCGACAACCGGTGGATACGTCAATCACGGCGCGACGTCGGCCCAACGTACG